TCCTGTCCCCCTGAAGCCCAGATGACGTTCCTTATTTCACCCATCCTTTCCTCCTTGTCCTCCTGCCCCACGTAACTGACGCTGTATGATTATTCTAGCAATAAAAACGGCCCGGATCTTCCTCTTCGCAGCATCCTGCATCATGTAGCCTGCTCCACGACGCCCGTTTCTTTATCAGTGTGGTGTTGCCCGACGCAACAGACCCTGCTCCATCTCCCCTCCATTCCTGGACTGTGGACAAAGGCTCAGCTCAGGAACTAGGGTGACTTGGCTAATCCTGCCCCTGGGCCAGGCCAGCAGGACACACACTCCTCCCTCCCCTGTGTGCTCCCTCCAGCTCTGCTCTAGAGAGAAGTAGCTGAAGCTCATGAAACAACCTCATTTTGAGACCCGTGGGTTTTCTATGGTGAGTCCAAAGAAGATGAACGTAGGGGACTGGAGATGAACATTGGCGACTGGGGGAGGAGCTGTCAGGGGTGAAGTTACCACCACATCCTAGCAGGACGCCTGGAGCAGGGGTCCTGCCCAGCTCCTTACACCTCAAGCCAACCATGAGATATTTCTAAACCTCAGCCTCTTCAGGTCCAATGCCTTTTCAGTCCTGCTTAGAAACTGCTTCTCCATGGAACCACATTTACTGAGGTGTTGTTCTGACACTCTTTACTCTGTGTGCGATTTGGATTCATTCATTCTGGGGCTTGATGTTAATTGTCTTCCCATCATCTTGTGTTGTGTATCCTGTCATTCTTTTACACACACACACACACACACACACACACACACTCCCCTCTCCTTGGCAACCAGACCCTCCCTCAGCACTGGGGTTACTCTGACCCTCTGTCTCTGGTCCCCTCAGAGCCGCCCTCTCTGCAGTATCTCTACTAAGGGGTGTCTGAGCAGGCCCAGGTGTCCCTGCACCTCCTGCCTCTGACCTTGTGGGAAACCAGCCCCTCACCCTGCATGACAGTGAGGAGACGAAGGCAAAGTCCTGAGGTCAGTGATTGATGGAGGACACAATTTGCTTTTTTCGTTTCTTTTTCCCCTCATTGTATTATTCAGGTGAGTTAGCATTGGTTTACACACTGTATGTGTTCAGAGGCCAAGGGTCACCCCTCTTCAGATGTTTGTTACCACATCACGCCTACCATAAGGGCACCCACAGTCTTCACCATAGTCCACTGGGCCCTCTTCCTACCTTATTTCCTGCTCTTAGTCCCACCCTATAGCTTCAATTCCACAGTCATATTTCTATAGTTTGTTTTGTTTAGTTTCACCTGTGCCTGTTTTGTTTCTTTATATTCCACATATGAATGAAATCATCCAGTATTTAACTTTCTCCTTCAAACTTATTTTACTTAGCATAATCCCATCCATATCAATTCTTGTTGCAAAGTCAGTAGTTTTCTTTTTCATGGCTGAGCAGTATTCCATTGTGTATACAGTTTGTGTTCTCCATCCCCTCATCTGTCATTGGGCACTTAAGTTGTCTCCATTGCTTGGTTATGATAGCCAGTGCTGCAGTGTTTTACCTTCTTTGGATAAATACCAAGGAATGGAAAGCTTGACCATGGGACAGGTCTATTTTGAATATTTTGAGGAACCTTCATTTGTTTTCTATGCTACCCATCGAAAAGAGAGGTTCCAGGTTTCTTCACCCAAGGAAACGTGGGGCTGAGAAGGATGAGAAGCTAAGGAAGAGGAGGAAGATGTGGAGTAAGATGAGGAAAGACTAGAGGAGGCGCATGGAGCAGAAAGACATGTGAAGAAGAAGCCAGGCTTGTTCCTCAAGCTTGGACTTGTGCCAGGGAATTGGGGACACAGCAAGAGACATGTGAAAGAGACAAAGACTTGGGTGAGAGGCTGATAAAGGCAGCTGTTATCTTGATTTTGATTTTGATTTTGCTCTTTTCCTTTTAGACTGGCCCCTTCTTCCCCTGTCCCATGGGTCTCTACCATTAGGTGCCTTAGCCTTGTGGCAGGCTTTCGGGCCCCAGTGGGCCTGCTTTGGGCCAACTCTCTTTCACTGGGTATTTACCCATGAGGGGACAGGTAGCTTTGGGTGCTTCACTTGCAAACTATTCTAACTATATTCTTTCTCTTCTCTCTGTTGTACACTAATTTTATTAAAGTTCTTTTCTATTGAAGGTCTTATGCTTCGAAGTATGTTTTCTCTTTATTCAGCTGATGAAGATCCCATGTAGTGTACAGGTTTGAGGGTCCTGGGAAACCCTCATTCTGACCACTAACAGGACCAGACTTCATTCCCACCCACCATGTACCAGAAAGATTTCCTTTTCCTACACACCCTTCAATGGGTCATTCTCACAGGTGTAAAGTAGTAACTCATTGTGGTTTTAATTGGCATTTTCCTGACAGCACATGACAAACATTTATCCATGTACTTATTGGCCATCTGTATGTCTTTACAAAAGTATCTATTTAGCTCATCTGCCCCTATTTTTACAGAGTTGTTTTCTTGTTTTGCAGTTCTTTGTAGATCTTGGATAGTAAGTCCTTTGTGGATTGATGATGTGCAAATATTTTCTCCAACTTGATGTTGTCTTTTCATTTTAATGAGTTTCCCTCACTAAGTAGAAGCTTTTTAGTCTCATGTGATTCCATTGGTTTCTTTTTGCTTTTGCTTCCTTGGAGCACAGAAGACATTAGGGGCAGTGAAAACACTCTGCATGATATTCTCACGATGGACACAGGTCATTATACATTTGTCCAACACCCACAGAATGGACAACACCAGAGTGACCCAAGAGAAACCATGACGTGCGAATATGATGCGCGGGTCCCTCACTTGTAACCCACGTGCCAGTCTGGTCTTAACACGTGATTTGGACATGATGTGTGAAGAGTTTCATAAATTGAGGAATGAAGTGTAAATTTATTTTTGAAAGCATATTTCATGCTCATGCAAGGACATTTAAATAACACTCAAGGATACGCATAAGTAAGTCATTCCCTTCCATCCCCCAACATCCCAGTCAGCCAGTAGCTGCTCAAAACCAATTAGCAATTTATTTTTTCTCTTCTAAAAAAATATATCCATGCTTCTGTCTGGACAATAATGCTTGTTTTCTCATCATTAAAGGAATTCAGGTCACAAGTGGGGGAAAACATTTGCATATCACGAAACTGATAAAGGACAGTATCAAGAATTTACAAATAATGTTTAAAATTCAATGATCAGCAAGAAATAACCCAATTTTAATAAGGACAAAAACAGTGTTATAAATATAGCAAAAAAAAAAAAAAATTGACTTCCAGGCCTCCCCTGGTGGCGCTGGTGGTTGAGCGCAGCACTGTGAAGCTGTCCACAGCCTCTGCAGTGCAGGTTCCATCCCGGCTGGTGGGCGAGAATCCCACACGGCGCGGCAGACCTCTCCTGTCTCACCCGCTGCTCCCCTCAGCAGTATATTTCATCAGTCTGCCTGTTCTGTTCTCCGCTCTGTCTCTAGTGAATCTTATCACCTCCCATGCATATGGCCTGTACCCCAGTTCTTATGCCTGAATAAATAAATCTTTTTATTTATATTTTATTTAATATTATTTATAGACATAGCAACTTATGTAGACATAGAAAAATAAAAATATGAACAAATGCTCAATATCACAGTTAAGAACAACAGTGACACCATCCCACTGCTGTCCAGGGTGTGCACAACAGGATCCTCATCAGGTTCATTGTAAAAGATCCTTAGGGGCTGAGAGACACATCAAAGCCCTAGGCACTGTCGCTGCCTGGTTGAGAACAAAACAGAACCTGGTCAGAGATGAGACCACAGCAGGGACTGATGAGGGTGACTCCTCCATGGAGTCCATTTACACTGTCCCCAGGGGCTCAGGGATCAAACCCCAGATCCACACTTACCTGCAGCCTGAGTGTAGCTTCCTCCTTGTCCTCCTGTGGGAAGAAACGTCATGTGAGACCAGGGAGCAGTCAGGTCAGAAGACCTAAAGGAATCTTTTAATCCTGCACAACAGGGAAGTTTTCAGAACTGTGACTAAAGACCCAGGTCAGGACTGGGAAAAATGAAGAAAGGAGGTGAGGGGGGGACTGGACCAAATGCCCTCTGGGCAACACCCATGTGTGTAGATAGTACTTCCCATTAACCAGGCAGGGCAAGATCTCCCTGGGACTTGAAAGTCCCCAGTGGACAAGATCCCCCACTCCCTTCCCTACCTGAGTGCTTCTTCCTCCACATCACTGCTGCAGCCACCGCAGCTCCAGTGAGCACAGCTCCAAGGAGAACCAGGCCAGCAATGATGCCCGCGGTGGGGATGGAGGACTGAGGAGGGGGCACTGGAAGGGAAGGGAAGATCATACCCTGAGCCCCAGACCTTATCCTGACCCTCTGAAGGGCTCCAGAAGGGCTCCTGATGGCCCTGAGAACAGCCTCAGTGCCCACATCCTCCTCCTTACCCCATCTCAGGACTTGGGGCTCCAGCAGCCCCTCATGCTGCACGTGGCACGTGTATCTCTGCTCCTCTCCAGAAGGCACCACCACAGCCGCCCACTTCTGGAAGGTTCCATTTCCCCCAGGCCTGGTCTCCACCAGCTCCATCTCCTGGGTCAGGTCCTCCCCATCTCGCTGCCAGGTCAGGGTGATGTCCGCTGGGTAGAAGCCCAGGGCCCAGCACCTCAGGGTGACCTCATACTCAGAGGTTGGGTGGTGGGTCACGTGTGTCCTTGGGGGATCTGAGGTGGTAAATTAGAAAACTCACTTTGTGTTTCCTCCATGGACACTGAGGAATCCTCATAAGACCATCCTCACAATGGACAAGACAACTGGTGTGGCAGGAATGACAGGGGTGAAGGATGTCCTGAGCAAACTCCATACAAATTCCATGATCACCAAAGGGAAGGTTGCGAGGACCTGAGGCTGGAGTTAAGCAACTGGGCTCTCCATTTCGGTATTTAACTGGTCATGTGGCCGGGAGTCACTGGCTTGGCCACCAGGTGTGCTAGGTTTTCGCCACCTCTGTGGGTCACTGGGATTCCAGGTCAGCGGAATGGGTAGGATGCATTTACAAACTTATCTCCCTCTTTTTCTCCCTGAGTTATTCATTTCCCATTCCCCTTCCCGTGTATATAAACCTTTCATCAACCTTTTGTGTGTGTCTGCAGTTTAACATTAAGAAGTCCCCTTTAATCGCAAGGGTGGGGACCCACAGTCAGGAAACCCCATTTTATATCGGGGTTTGCCCTGTAACAGCTAGAAGCATAAATTGTAAAAAAAAAAAAAAAAAAAAACAAAAACCTGTAGGATTCTCCTATTCCTTAGAAAGTTCTAGAATGAGGATGAAAGCCCAGGGCAGGATGAAGCAGAGGGAATGGAGCACAGACGTTTTATTCCTGACCTGGGTGGAAGGTGAATGACACAGAAAAGCAGGAATCACATAACTGGAAATGTTCTCAGACCAGAAACAAGACTGAGAGAGAAACTCGTGGTTCTCAAACAGGCCCCTGGTCAAAAGGACCCGGTGATGTGTGATGTCAGGGACTGTCTGTCTTTCTCAGGAGAGACAGATCCCTTCACTGTCCTTCAGGAGAAGCCGGAGTCTCTGGGAGTCTCTCTAGTGCAGAACATGAAACCCAGGGGAGTCCCCCTCTCGGGACTAGAGAGAGGACTCATTTCCCACAGTGATTCCGGGCAGGGGGGGACCGGGAGGCCTCCAGGCCCCTCTTACCTGTGCGCTGCAGAGTCTCCTTCCCGTACTCCAGGAATCTGAGCAGCCACCTCAAGTACTTGCCCTTCTCAAAGTTCCTGAATTTCTCTGCCTCACCCTGGGCCTCCCACTCGCGCCGGGTGATCTGAGCGGCCGTGTCCACCGCGGTCCAGGAGCGCAGGTCCTCATTCAGGGCCAGGTAATCGGCGCCATCGTAGGCGAACTGTCTGTATGCGCGGAGGAGATGCCTGTCGGGGCCCACGTCGCAGCCAGACATCCTCTGGAAGGTGTGAGAGCCTGTCCCCACCCCCCCACACACACAGCCCCCGCGTTACCCTGTGGTCACCCCAGGGTCACCCCGACCTCCCACGGGGAATAAACTAAACAGAAGGAAACGGGGTGAAAGTCCCTGGGGCTGTTCCAGGGCAGGTTGCAGAGAAGCCTGGAGGGGGAGACCCTGAGCGACCCCCACTCCCTCCCCTGGACCCATGCCAGCTCACTGGTCTCGCTCTGGTTGTAGAGGCCGCGCAGGGAGTCCAGGTGCGCTCGGAACCACACTATGTTCTGCCTTAGGATCTTAGTCCTCCAGTCCCACTCCTCCTGCCCCGTCTGCTCCGCCCAGGGCGCCCGCGGCTCAGCGCTCTGGCCCGGAGAGTCGCTGTCGAACCACCCGTACTGCGTGTCGTCCACGTAGCCCACGACGATGTACCGGGGCTCCCCGAGGCCGGGCCGGGACATCGCGGTGTGGAAAGTCCTCAGGGAGTGGGGGCCTGGGGGCGGGAGGGGAGACCCGGGCTATTCTTCTCACCTTTCGGGGGCTCGCGTCCCGGGGGCCGCCCACGAGACAGAAAGTGGGTGAAAGACGAGAGAGTGAAAAGCGGCTGCGGGACGAAAATGGCCGGGACTCGGGGGGCCAGAGGAGGCTGGGGTCTCGGGGGACGGAAAGGGGCCAGGACGGGGCGGGGCCGAGGTGGGGGACAACTAGGGCGGCGGCGAGGTCGCGCCTTTCCCACGCCCGCCCGCGCCCTCGCTCCCGCCTCCGGAGCGCCCTGTCCCCTCCCGACCCGCACTCACCCGCCCGGGTCTCCCTCGGGGCCGCGGTCACCGCGAGCAGGAGCAGGAGGGCGGCGCCCCCCATCCCCCAGGACGCGCCTCCACCCAGGCTGGGGAGACGGAGTCCCGGGGGGTGGGTGAGGGCTTTGGAACGGGAGCCGCGGGGCTGCTGATTGGCTGCTCTGGAGACCTCCAGGCAATGGGGAGTGAGCCCTGGGGTGACTCACCAGTATCCAGGAAGGAGGACCCGACACGGGCTGTGACAAGTGAAACTGGGGAGATGAGGAAGCCCCGACAGTCACCTTCCAGCCCCAGACAGCGCCCTGGGGACTGAGACCTGAGAGCCACACCCCGAGACCCCTGCTCTCCTGCACCAAGACCTTTGTCACACTGTTGCCTCCCTGAATCCAGGCCCAGGAATTGGGTCAGCGATTCTCAAACATTTTTCTTTCAGGATATCTCTACAGTCTCACAAACTATTACGGATCCCCTGTATAATTTTCTATGTGGGTTAGAGCTTTAAATACTTTACTAGAATAAAGGCTTTTTAAGATGGTATTACTTCTTTACTTTAGAATATTAATAACCAATGTATGCTAACAAAGCATTTTTTAAAGATTTATTTATTTATGCATAGAAAAGGTGGGGTGCAGGCCAGAGATGCTTGGGGTAAAAGGATTCACCAGAGACAGAGAGGGGGGCACATCAGGCAGATGTACTGAAACACACTGCTGAGGGGAGCAGGGGGCTAGACTGGCAGAGGTCTGCTGTACACTGTGGGGTGGCTCCCTGGCCAGGGATTGAACTCATGCTGCAGTGGCTGCAGGTAGCTTCATAGGTTGTGCCTTAACCCCTTGCACCACCAGGGAGGCCCTAACAAAGCATTTTTAAGGAAATAACTTTCTGTAAATATAAGGATAATTAAAAGAGGGGAAATTTTACATTTTATATTTTTGCAAGTGTCATTTTTGTCTCATTAGAAGATCTTTTAGTTTTCAGTTTCTTCTACATTGAATGTTTTGCTTGAAATCTATGAAAAAATACACAATCTCATGGAAATATGTAGGAATAGTATTTTAATAACCTTTTCAGATTATGACTATTCAAGTTTGTTTCAACTTTCATACTAAATCATAACTATATAAGTAATATTTTCTCAAAAATTATTTGCAAAGTGAAACCTGAAACAATGTCATTGAATATTTCCTATTCTGTTATATTAACTCCATAGGCCTCTCTTGTATATTAATGGATCTTGTACAATTGTATGATTATTTATTTATTTATTTATTTATACAAGCACTGGGTACTGTCAGAAGTGCAGGAGAGTGAGAGAATTCATCAGAGCCAGAGCAGGGAGCAGAACAGGCAGAAGAACAGAAGTACACTGCTGAGGGGAGCAGCGGACAGCAGGAGAGGTCTGCAGGCCATGTGGGACCCTCGCCTGGCAGCCAGGGATCGAACTGGTGCTGCAGAGGCTGCTGCAGAGGCTGTGGGCAGCTTCACAACCCAGCGCTCAACCACTGTGCCACCGGGGAGGCCCAATTGTATGATTTTTTTTTAAAGTTACCTATTGTTTCACTATGGGTTATATAGCTATATAGTGTTAATTACACTGGGGTCAAGTTATCAAAAATCACGTTTTATTTTTTACCACAGATCCCAAAAGAAAAATTAGTCCATACTGTAAGTTGTCAAGTTTATAGTGATAGGACTCAATTTTCCATAATTCTGGTTTTCTCTGCGAGTTTACATTTTATTTTATTTTTTAAAAGACTTATTTATTTATGCATACAAGAGCTGGGGTACAGGCCAAAGGTGTGGGGAGTGAGAGGATTCCCTAGACCAAAGTACTGCTAAGAGGAGCAGCGGGTGAGTCAGGAGAGGTCTGGTGCACCGTGTGGGCCACTCCCTGGCCAGACTGCTTCACTGGTTGCGTCTTAACCCTTGGGCCACCAGGGAGTTTACATTTTATCAAGGCAACAAGTGCCATCAGTAGATTTTTAAAAGGGACAGACTCACATTCATTTTCAGGAAAGTGTCTGCCAATTCAACTAGTCTAAGTAACCATGGTATTAGCCATTCCCTCCTTCACTTAAAAATGGGATTGCCTAAAAGAAGAGGCTAATTCACTTCATACATTTTTCTCCCTTCAGACTGTAGCAGATGTGCCTTATGTGCACTTCCTTGTCATTGTTTCAGAGCTTTAAAAATGTGGATTTCAGGATGATAAAATAGAAAAGATGCTATTGTGATTTAACCAGGACTTTTCTTTGTTAAGATTTATTTATTTATTTATACAAGCACTGGATATAGTCAGAAGTGCGGGAGGGTGAGAGAATTCACCAGAGCCAGAGCGGGGAACAGAACAGCCAGACTGATGAAATACACTGCTGATGGGAGCAGCAGGCGAGACAGGAGAGGTTTGCACCCCAGGTGGGACCCTTGCAGGTGGCAGGGGATGGAACCAGTGCTACAGCAGCTGCAGGGCAGCTTCGCAGCCCAGCGCTCAACTGCAGCACCACCAGGGGAGACCCGACTAGGACATTTTGAAGTGAAATTGGTTTGGATTTTTTTTCTGCGAGAAAGTGGTGGTGAAGAATAACTACTACTGCAATTGGTACTATAATTTCCATTCTTACTAAGTTTTATCTTAGCAAATATCAAAATAGTGAAAGGCAAATGGTGTCTAAGTAATGTTATAAAAATAGTTTTGACCTCCTGGATCCCGTGAAAGGTTCTGGGTGACCTCAAGGGTTCCACAGGCCGACTTTGGAAATGCTTTTCTCAGTGAACCAGGAAGAATCTCCCAAGTGTCCTCTGCCAGAATCCATCTCTTTGGTTTGGATTTCCTATTTCCAAAGTTTTTCTTAGAGTTTTGCCCCTGGACTCCCTGGAAGAGAACTCATTTCAGAGATGAGGAGAGAGAGTTTTCAGTCTGAGAAGAGAGGTGGAGAGACAGGTGCTTCCCTTTGGAACTGGGACAGTTTGTGTCCGGAGGCACCAGACCCACTGATAATCTTCTTTGATCTTGTTTTTTGCCTGCTTAGTATGTATTTCCATCCAGGGACCTCACCTCATCTTTAAGAAAGATAATATTGGCCCCTTGATTCTACATGTGTTTAATTCATCTGACTTGATGCTCCCAAAGCATGAAGAGGTGTGCTGTCCAACAGAATGTTCTGAAAGAAAAAAATGTTCTATATATGTACTGACCAATATGGTGCCTCTAACTATTGAACACTTTAAATGCGGCTCATGAGCTGAGATGTTGCATATTTAACTATATATCAATTACAATTAAAAAGCCATATGTGGCTAGTAGCTACCATATTGACAGTACATATCTAGAATGTTCTTAACTTTCAGTATCTGGCCCCCAATACTTTGTTGTATAATGAAATAGTATAATAAAATATAATATACAATAAAATTACCTTCATGTGGAAATAATGGATTTTTCTACATGGGGTTTAAGTATATCCTTAAAATATGGTATGTCCAAATAGTTTAATTAACATGTATTTTAACAATAGATAGAGAGGTGCAATCCCAAATCTGAATACAAACTCTGTCAAATCCCTGAATGACCACTAAACTGTGCTGAGGTATGGGACACTCAAGAGAAACTGCTGGAAAACCAGAAAGAACTTAGAGGGCGTTCTACCCTTGAGTGACAGACTCATCTCAGTGCAATCTGTGAGTCTGCACCTAAGACTGATGACTTCCCCAATCCACACAAGCTCAGAGAACCAGAAGAAAAATCTTACTGACTTGAGGAATCAAACACCAGATTTGGTGGCGGTATTTGGGTGCACCAGGCACAAGGTAACCAATAAGTGAGTGAATGCCAACATCTGGGTAGATACTGTCCAAAACCTTGGTTGACCATTGAATCGCATGGAGACAAAAAATCTTGGTTGACCATTGAATCACACGGAGACAAGTCAAATTCTTCAAGACCTAGGATGAAAATGCAGCACTTGGAGACTGAAGCAGCAGAGCAGGGGCCCAGCTGTGCACACTGCAGGGGCAGATTTGGCCTCGATCTGGCAAATGTCCAACTTCAGTGGGGAAGAAAAGGAATCCCCAGAAAAATAAAAGAGTCCAGATGTGTTAAATCTTATAGCTTTCATGTATTTAGAATTAAGCCTGTTTTCTTCATGGTGCTTGTTTGAATAAAGCCTGACTATTCTCTACAAGGTATCGGCATAATTTTCTTTCTTTGACAAAAGGATATAGTGCCAGATGATAGACAGTAAAAGTTTTTCAAATCTTCACAGGTTTTTTTATATTCTCAAGAGGTCAAGAACAATTCCCCTACTGTGAGTCCCTGGACTTGCTGGCTCCCTGGTCACGGAGGAGGCTGGGGCACCTGCACCACTTTCACAGTGAGGCTCAAACGGCTCCATGACCCCCTGCTTGATCTCTCCTGCTCACTCTCGGGGGAAGACATTTGCTGCACTGTATGGGCACTCAGATAAGGAGACACGCACATGGTGAGAACTGAAGCTTTTTTCCAGCAGCCACGTGCATGAGCCTTTATGTAGATTCTTCCATGTCCATCAAGCCTTTTCTTTGGTCTGGCATGGTGATTGCAGCCTTGTTAGACCCTGAGCAGGAACCACCACTGGGGTACAGACCAGAGGTGTGGAGGGTGAGTGGATTCACCAGAGGCAGAGTGGGAAACAGAACAGGGAGATTGACTGAAATACACTGCTGAGGGGAGCAGTGGGCGAGACAAGAGAGGTCTGCTGCGCCATGTGGGTAGCTCTCTGGCTGGGGATCAAACTTGTGCTGCAGAGGCTGTGGACAGCTTCATAGGTTGTGTCTTAACCCCTTGCACAATCAGGGAGGCCCATAAATAAATACATCTTAGAAAACAGCAAAAGAAGTCTTGGAAAAAGAAGTTATGAGTGTGGAAGCCCTGGACTTGGGTCCTAGATCTGTGTCATGCTAAATATGGGAATGTTGCCACTCTCGCCTGTAAAATGGGACTAATAGAGTCTTGGTTGTCTGCCTCACACAGGTGATAAGAGGATTAAGCTCAAACTTACAGCACTGTAGAAGTGAACTATATATTGC